TATTATTTTGTTTTTTCCTCGTTCTTACGAAATTTGTCATACAATATATATATATATAATGAAATTAATAAAAATATGCAAGCAAGTCTTGTAAGTTCGACATAAATCACTATAATACAAACTTTTGTCTTAATTAAAAAATTACCTACCAAAATTAACATATAATATTTTTATTAATATCGAATAAAATATCCTACATAAATATTCCAATTTTTATATATTCACTCATCTTCAACGTAATTGCATTTTACTAAATAATATTGATACATTATAATATATAAGAAAGAATAGGTCACGATTTATCACCGACTATAGGTCTTACTGCCGATCTTTTATTTTTAAGATACCAATTATTAGAATCCATACCATACAATTTTATTGCAAATGTATAATTAAAATGTGCTAAGTCCTAGACATCCCAAATACTTTGAAGGTTATAATGGTATTATATATGATATACCGACTACTCAAATCCAATTGTTTATACTTAGGCGGGGAAGGGTAAGAGATTGATCGATCTATCCACCTCGAGATTATTAATTGGACAACATTGCGTCAGTAGTATTTATGTTATATTGTATTTTAATGTCTTTTATGGAAATATTTGAGGAAAATTACAAACGCTGTACTCCAAATTAACTAGTCAAAAATACATGGATTCATTTTAGGAGAATTACATACAATATTAACAAATTTAAAACACTGGACGGCTTAGCGTAAATATTATTTATTGATATTTTAAAAAAAAAAAATTACGTAACCCGTGGACTGAATAGGTACATAAGGTATTCGAATGCAGGTGTACTATACGCTTTAAGGCTTGTTCTTGTAATATTTTAAAAGTCGGCTCTTTTCAGACTTTAATAGTCAATTGGATAACAGCCTCACCCGATGTTTTATCTGTATAGGTTGTATTGTGTACCATTTGTGGCATACACATTGAAGTCATTAAATAAGTGCCTGACCACGTGCATAAACCCAAACGTACCGGTGAAATAATAAAATGAACATGATAAAGAAATGCTCAGTTTTATGGCTATCAAAAAAGTTATGATAAAAGTTATGTCATTTTCGCATGTATGTGTATTTAATTTATCGTGAGCTTAGGTCGCGAGTTCAAGACAGTAAAAATAAAATATCACAACAGTCTGGGGAAAATAATTTTACGATTGACCCGTACTCATTATAACGCCCGTCGACGCTGGTGTATTACACAAACGAGTGAGTACATCGGTTGACGAATCACGACGAATATGCTGAACACGGGAATCCACACAGTTTGTCTGTTTCCGGATTCCAAAATGAAACAAAAATTTACTTCCAAGTTACGCGCGTCTTGATGCGATGGATCTCTATAAACATAAATGAACGCTTGGCGCGACATCGAAAATCAAAAATGGCACATTTCGTAGATAATTTTAAACTTTTGTCTAAGATTTAATGCTCTTTTAAATATTTTAATGATTTAATTCACTGTCGAACATTCAACTATTGTTTGGATGTAATTTATATCAATCGGGAACAGATTTTTGTTATCTCAAACGTCGATAGTTACGTAAAATTTTGTTCAATTATATTCCCGTTGAAAGTTCTACAATGACTGCATATAGCATTAGAAAATTCTATATCTGCGATTCGTTTCCTAGACATTTTCCCGTTCCTATCATAGTTTCGTGTGGTACAATAAAAATCTGTAGTATCATTAGTTTTTAAGTGAATTTAAGATTAAAATATGACAAATATCGAATGTCTACGTATTTATAGTTGTTCCTTTACCTATAACGGTATTATGTACAACAAAAATGGTCAGAATTCAGGCCTAGCGTCTCCGTGTATGCCTAAATCCACCAAAAGGAATATGTCATCTTCGTCATTGTCACCGCCTCCAAATGATAAGAAATCCAAAAAGTTTATTTCACCAAACCGATTCACCATTCTGGCATCTAAGGAGGACAACTTAAGTAAATCCAACGTCATGTGTGATGCTTTCGATGCAATTGACGAGTCCATTATCCCCACTCTACACGATAACTCCAGGGCTTCGCCATTTTATATCCAAGACATTAAGAACTTCTCTGCTTTCAAAAATACGTTATTCCAAGTCACTGGTCAATTTACAAATAAGTCATTACTAGGCTTAGGGACTTCTAGCATTTGCATACTTTTTTTAATTATTGCTAAATATAGTAGAGTGTGAAATAAATTCGTTTCTCGGTGCCATGATATCAGTTTTAAAATTTGAATGTGCATATATTTGCATATTTGATAGATTTTGCAGGAGAGTGCTTATTTTAACATTATTATGCTTATTTTGCATATTTTGACAAATTTTTCAAATTTTATTATTTAAAATTAA